TCCCTCTCAGGTCTCTGCCCTCCACAGACGCATCGAGACCATCGCAGAGGTGGCTGCCATGTGTGGGACCAACATCATCTGTTTCCAAGAAGCTTGGAGTAAGTCTCCTTTGGTGTGGCTTTCTCTGCCACTGTCGGACTGTGTCAGCTCCCCGTTATCAGGGCGCCTGCCACCGAGTTCTCCAGGCTTCCTTTCCCTTCTCAGCCCTGGAAGGGTGCCTTATGTTTTGTCAGTAACCCTGTGCGCCCTGGCCTGTGCTCTGATCCCACCATTTCTGTATGCGAAACAGTCTGAGTCACTCCGTCTGCCACTGCCCAACACTGCCTTGGACCAGGCGGCCAGCGGCCTCCCCTTGGCTTCTCTGGAGCCCTCAGCTCGTGGGGATTTTATTTTTACTAAGTAGAGAAATAGGCTTGTGAGACAGAAACTCATGTAATTTACTGCAAGGGACACAGGCAGGAGGACTCCAAGACGTTCACATAGACCTAGAGACAAGAGGAGGGCAAAGCCGGTCTGGGAGTGACGTCGGAGCCGGTCTGGGAGTGACGTGGGAGCTGCCCTGCTTCAGGCAGCTGCCTTCGGCAGACAGGCTCCGCAGGAAGGGTCGACCAGCAACGCCGCCTCTGGGAGGTCCCTCAGAGCGGGCCAGTTGGTGAGGGGAGGGGCCGGCAGTGTGTCAGTCTTAAGACACGGTCAGAGCCTCCACGAACAGAGAGTCTTTCTGCTCCTGCCTTGCTGTCCTGTTTGCAATTTTGTATTGTGATTTGGGTGCCCGTTTACAAAGCACATTTGTTTTGCACACAGTTCATGCACATTTGGTTTCACAGCCCCGATGACCATCCCCGACCATAAAAAGCTCTCTTCCCGTCCTCCCTGCCACTGCCTGGTCCCTGTGCCCTTCTTACCTGTGCATCCTGTCTGTCCAGCTTTCCCTGTGGGAGTGCTGCCCCTCTGGTGTCTCATGGCTGACTGATCTCAGGGGTCCATCGCCCTGGGGGAGGTGTTCTGACTGTAGGGATCTCTCCTGGCTGAGAGCCAATCCATGGGAGTGAGTTCATTTCTAGGCCTGAAGGGTAACCCTGGGCCGTAGTCTCAGGGGTTCCAGCAGACTCTGTCTGACCAGTAATTCTGGTCATCATTGTGGTTTTTAATTTTGTTCCATATTTTTCCTCCCACCCTGTCCAGGATCTCCAGTTTTGATCCCTTTCTGAGCGGTTGGCATTGGCAGCCGGGCACCATCTAGTCCTTCTGGTCTTGGGGTTGGGAAGGCTCAGGTCCACGTGGCCCATCCTATCAAGTGACTTTGATTTTCTTCACTCTTCTTTGCTCCAGATGAGAGGAACCCAGTAGCTGCATCTTAGGTGCCCACACGGTTTTAAGACCCCACTTGCTACTCACGGAAGCAGGATGTAGAGCAAGATTTTTATGGGCTATGACCCCACTTGCTACTCACGGAAGCAGGATGTAGAGCAAGATTTTTATGGGCTATGTTGTGCCAGCTGAGCTTGATGTCCCATGAGCCTATAGTCTCTGCTTTGCTCCTGTTGAAAGAGCAAAGCCTGGCATTTTTCTGGGGTTCAGTCCCTCTGGTATTGGGGGTCTAGCCCACACTGCAGCAGGGCAGCTCACATCCCAGGTTCATTACCAAGGTGCACATTGGGGCATCTGGTCTAATGTGATAAACTGAGGCTATGCCACATCTTATCACAGCCAAGCAGACGTCTACAACCAAACCAAAAGAATCTCAGCGCACTGCCCGTAGAGTAGATCGCGGCTCAGTGCCCCTGTGTGCAGCTCAGGGGAGTTCTGGACACGGGTACCGAAAGCTGCTTGTCACTTTCAGGTTGTTTACAGCTTTGTCACATGTTAGCTGTTTGACACATGTGGTTTCAGTTCATGACATTATAAGTGTATCACCACCTGCCTCCAGCCTGTCCCCTGCACCCTCCACTCTGTTGTGGGGTGGTGGTATTAGGTGCGGTTGATAGGAGTTGGTTCTGACTCACAGTGACCCTGGGTACAACAGAACAAAGCACTGCCCATTCCTGTGCCAGCCTCACAATCTTTGCTGTGCCTGAGCCCACTGTCACAACTACTGTGTCAGTCTGTCTCATCAAAGGTCTTCCCATTTCTCGGTGACCTTCCACTCTGATAAGGAGCTCTGGTAGTGTACTTGCTCAAGACATTGGGCTGCTGACCAAAAGTTTAGTAGTTCAAATGCACCAGCCACTCAGTGGGAGAAAGGTGAGGTAGTCTGATTCCATAAAGATCGACAGCCTTAGTGACCCTCTGGGACAGTTCCACTCTGTCCTCTAGGGGCGCTGTGGTCAGAATCAGGGCAGTGGGTGTGGTTGGGACTTGGCTTCCAGGAAGGTTGACAGCCTCCTTTCAGAACATCCGCCCTAGCTGAAGTTGAGTCCCCTCTTATGTAACTCCTGGCACCATGTACTTTCGTTTTAGCTTTTAAATTTCTATCAAAGTTATACATGTTGGTGAAACCATGGGTCACACGGGTCTACAAAGTCTGGTACAAAAAGCCTCCTCCTTCCCGAGACGGCTGCTCCCGACTCTTAGCTGAGCCCTCGGATTTCCCTCAGCTGGGTGGCTGCTCCTGCCTTTTCCACTCTGCGTCATCGATGGACCCCCCACTGTGGAAGAGGACAGCACTTGTCCTTGGCCTCCCCCACCCCTTCACACACGGACCCTTCCCATCCTATGTCCCTCTGGTCTCTGCCGCCCCATCTTGTGAGCTTTGATTTGTTTTCTGGAATAACTTTCTCTTTTCCTTGGAGGTGGCTTTGTTTTCTACACGCTCACCAAGTCATTCCCACCAAACTTTCTGGCAGTCTCCTAAATTCCCTTCAGCAGTCGATCCGTTTTCTCTCCCGAGAGGAATCTGTCCTGAGCCCTGACTACTCTGGGCTGAAGGAGGTGCCCCTTCCATGGGCTGCACAGCTGTCGTCCTGGGATCTGCCTTCAGCCATCATCTTGGGAGGATCCCGCCGCCTGCTCTTGAGTTTATCCTGTACCACAGCTTCCGCTTGATTCACTCCCTCATTTGGGTGGAGTCGCTCCCTAAGAGGGAACACAGGAGAGGCACGTTTCTTGAGACCTTGCATGTCTGCACATGTATTCCTCCTGCTCTCACAGTTGCTGGGTAGTTCGGTTGGGTATAGAATTCTAGATGCGAAACCCCTTCCTTCACATGTGTGACACATTGCTCTGTTGTCCTCTAGCCCTGGCTGCTGTTCAGCAGGCCTGAGCCATTTTGGTTTCTGATCCATTGTGCATTACCCATTTATGCTTCTCTGGAAGATTGCAGGATTTCCTTTTTTGTCTAATACTGCCCAGAAATTTCACTACGATGAGCTGCTGTGCGGCTCTGCTTTAATCCATTCTGCTGGATGCTCACTGGGCTCTTTTTTTTTTTTTTTTAATTGGGATATGGGTGAAAGTTGACAGAGCAAATTCACTTTCCACACAGCAGTTCATACACATTTTGTTTCATGACATTGACTGCAATTCCCCGCCATGTAACAGCTCTCTTCCCACTTCCTCCCCGTAGTTACTTCTTCCCTGTGTCCTTCCCTCCCATGCACTCCTGCCCCCTGAGCTGTCTCTTTGTGCAAAAACTGCCCTTCTGTTCCCCTATGATCGATCACTCCAAGGAGTATATCTACCTGATGTAAATGTTCACCATGCCTGTCTGTTGTTTGACTGGAAGCTATGGGACTGAGTTCAGTTCCAGACCTGAAGGGTAACTAGGGGCCATGGTCTCAGGAGTCTTACCAGGCTCCATCAGACCAGATCAGTGGGCTCTTTTAGTCTAGAGACATAGCTCCTTCCTTCATTAGTCATTTCTGCCCTGTGTTTTCTGACTTCTCTTTCTGATATTCCAGTTATGAGGCTGTTGGAACCCTGAACTAGTTCCCTAATTTTTAAAAAATGTATTATGTCCTATCTTTCTCTCTTTGTATTCTTCCTCAGTTTTATGATAGAGCTCAGCTAAGCTGATATATATAGTCAGTTTTTCATATAGTCCTATGACATCATCATTTCTGCTGTCATTTAACATTCAGTCATTGTGAGGATGTGGCTCGTTAATGAACTGCCGTCATGTACCGTCGTGCCTGTAGCTCCCCAAAGCAGCTCCCAGACCTCATCCTGTTTAAGCCAAGTGCCAGTTACTGCAAAGTCATTTGGTGCGATTTTTTGCTCTCTCGAACCCTTATAGTCACGAACCTTTTGTGGCTCTCAAGTTATAACCTAGGCAGGTACAGACATAACGGAATTGGGTGACTTAAGATATGAAAAGTGTCTGAAATTAACACCCCATTTTTCATCTAACTCAGATTTTCATTTCTATTTTTCTAAACAAATTACTTGGTCTTTTTGTCACAGTCTTACTATTCCGTAACTAAGGGGGAGGCAGGATTTCTAACCTCCATAGTTACTCATTGTCTCTCAGTGTTGACAGCTGGCCGCAGAGAGGCTGCCTGGTCAGCAGGCAGTTGAGAAGTAGAAGTGCTCATGGTAAATGGACTTGGAACTTGTCAATACCTTTGCAGCTAATAGACACATATCAAGTCTTAGTCCCAAAGGACTTTCCTCACCACCAGGATTTCTGCTGTGTGTCTGCCAGCCCTTTGTTAATCTGTAACTAAGATAAGGAGAGGTGGTTCCAAGGTGATAGGGAATTAACTCCTGAAGCTTGGTTAAATGTTCTCAGAATGGAACATTCTCAGAATGGAAACACCTTCAAGACACCACAGATGACCTCATGTTTTCCTTTGTAGCTTTGCTCTGGCTCCTCCCCCAGCTTCCCCCCCTGCCAGCACCAATCCCTCTGAAACCCTCACTGTTCCCCCTCATTCCGAGCATTTTAATATCTAGCACTGGATGTCTGTAAACGTCCCCTCCTTTGAAACTGATTTTATTCCTTCAAGAATTTTTCTTCCTTTTGAGGTGACTGTCGGGAGGAAGTGGGAGGGGAGCTGTTGCATTGTGGTGAATTGTGGTCAATGTCATGAGACAAAATGTATGTGAGCTGCTGTATGGAAAATGAATTTGCTCTGTAAACTTTCACCCAAGTCACAAT